GCTCTATGCGGAGAAGTTCAAAAGGCCGGCAGGGAGATGAGAGATAATGTGAGCGCGGAGAGCGCTAGAGAAGTCCGAGTAGAGAGAGCATAGCAGATCAACATTGCGACGCAGACAAGATATCGAGCGGTGGGCGGAGCGTGTCGCAACAGGTGGAGCGTGTCAAAGTTCTTAGCGCCTAGCGTCTAAGTAACGCTTTTCGAAGTAGGGAAGTGACGCGACCTCTACACTTGCGTACCTAGCGCTTCTAGCCACCGTAAAGGCTCATTAAGTGGGTCTGAGCCCGAACTTTGCCTTTAAGGTGAACAGTTGAGAATATAAACCTTTCAGAGCCTAATTATCACTGAGAATGAGAATTTTTCTTCCTGTTGTGGCGGGCGGGTGCAATGGCTGGTGGAAAGGAAAGATCAAAAGGAAGAGATTGTCTGAAGGGACAAACTAGCAGTGAGAGTAGAAGTAATTGTCGCGTCAGTAATGCAGACCTCGGAATTGGATGGTGGCAACTGCCACCGCTAGGGCCGAAACGGTTAAAGAGCACTTCATTACATTATCCCAATGAGGTGAACCAGAAAATTTGCTGCTGGGTGCACATGTAGATGGAGTAAAGGCAGGTGCCGTCGTAGGACTAAGTCTTATCAACTGCGCACGAGAGATCGTCGTAGCGGTTCTCTGTCAGTTTCCATGCCCCCTAAATAAATGCTCTTTCAATTGACCCGCGTAAGAGCGGTGTCAGATTTAGCGCATTCAACGAATCGCTAGCGAAGCGAGTTACCCAGCAGAAGGCTCGTCGCGCGTCCAAGGCAGAGTCAGCGGACGAGTCGCAGCCGTAGTGTAGTGATTTTGCATCAAGTCAAAACGAATGTACCACTTTACGCCCTTCACAGCACGCGCTGCGACTCTTCAGCTAACTCTTTCTTGCCTGTCGGGTACCCGAGAGTGCCTCCCAACACGTTGCCTCTCACCTTTTTCCCAGGCTCGCGGGCCATGAGAGCGCGCGAGGGTACGAACCGCTGGCCATTGTTTTTACCCCGCGATTCCTGGATTGAAATAGTCTGACATCAGCCTAGCCTTAGCTGGCACACCCAACAAATGAGAAGGGTACCGTGTAGCTGCCAGGTCGCTTGTTGCTGTAAAATTTGCCATGAACAACTCTGGCGTAACATACCTGGTGTGAGATTGCTTTGCTCATTCGAATCGGCAACCTTTGGAGCTTCATAATCTTCGTCTTCCCGTTTGATCGAGTGATCCCAGTAGTCGTCATCTTCAGGACCGAGACCGTGACTATAAGTGATAATTTGAATGGACAGTTAAACTGACAAACGTTTCAGAGGAGCCATCTGCCACAGCAAAGGGAATCTAAACACTCAGCCAAAACAACAGTAGGAGGATGAGGATCAGTACCGTAACAAAAACCGGTATAATAAAATCCATACGGTGAAAAGGAGCACACATCATGAATTATTCGCCTTCATGTTAATACTGAGGGATTAAAGGCCCCAAGATCACATTGGTATGGGTTTTGCACACGAACACGAATGTATTGGTGTGAAATTGGCGGACCGTAAAGGAAAAAAGAAAAAGGCTCCGTCGAAAATGCTCAGGTTGTGGGCTCAGTCACCTTCGCAATAGGCTGCGCTAACAAGGCGGATCCTTCAAGACATGGAGCGTTTTGCAAAATGTTTTTTTTACATGTTATTAGAGGCATGGGAACGCAGAACCATAGTCATTCTTGCGTTCGCCTTCAAGAATGTCATGACAGTGAGAAGAAATGGTCGAGGTTCGATCCTCCATGGTGACAAATTTTTGCAATTCTTGTTGGTGCCTCCAACATTACATTATTAATTTGAAATTGCCGCCAAATCACGACAGCAAAAAAGGATAAAGCATTTGCAGTTGATCAAGAATGCGTGCCGCATCCCATCTTGGGATGCGGCACGCATTCTACTTCCATTTGTACATTCGTAGTGGCGTTTGAATGCGATGTGGCCTATACAATGACTTGCGGGGCCAGCCAGTGTTTTTATCCTCCCAGACAAGTCTGGTACCAATTAACCGACCCCGGAGGGATGGAAGGCTTGGTTGGCCCGGGCGACTCACGACCCAGGATTTGATCCCGGACCGCTCGCGTGGTAAGCGTGCCACTTGCCACTACACCACTTTCCGTTCCTTCCGCAATCAACGACAATGACATACATATTCCTTGACGCTGGCGCCAAGCGACAATCTAGGGGTACCAAAATTTTTTGCAAAAATTATTTCATCACCGGGATCGAACTCTGGACCATTTCTTCACCAATGTTTTGACATTCCTGGAGGCGTTCAGGAAAAATGGATCATGGTTCTGTGTTCCTCGTATGAGCCCCCTACAACATGCAGAAACCATTTCGAAAAAGCGCTCTGTGTTCTGAAAGACCTCCCTTGCAAGGCAATGAGAGAGTAAGCGCTCAGAGGAGAGTATGAGGCAAAAGAGCGCAACAGATGAGAGGGCGCCAGACAACACCATGCTGAAAGGAAAATTGTAGCTGCTGCAGCTTACTTTGCAAAGCCCTACATAGCGCTCTTATCATGAGATTTCCGTGCACGGGAATGCCACATCTAAAATTATCCTTTAGGGTCTACCCTACAGAACGAAGGAAATTGTTCCTCACTTCTGCCTGGGTTATGCCTTAAAGGTCTCTAAATTCCTCAGTTTACGCAATTACTACACACAATATCGAGCTTTTATTTTAGCCATCTCCTATTCGCACCAATAAGCTTATAGGCTGTTATAAGCTCAGAGACTATCGCAATATGGAGGTAGATAGATGAGAGGGGCTGGATGGAATGGGTGTCAGGATGTAGTCGCCGCGCATATCCCAGCACAACTCTTGTGTTCTAACTTGTTCGCGGTCACCGTATTTGGAGAAGTGGAGCGTTTCTTTCCCTTCTGTAGTCAGTTACCAGCTTCAAAACTTCTCCTTTTCCCTTCAAAATTAGTCGGAATTGAGGCTTTAGCTTCCAATTTCATACTCACCTCTCAGTCTCGATATCCAGCGAATGCACCTTCACTGTCTTATCAGCAGCCCCTTCGATAATTTTGGTGATTCCGCTCAACACAGCCGCTGTGCTCGTGTCATCAGCGTCCTCGGTCCCTGGCTCTGTAATAGCACCTTCGGATACGGTACTCGTGTCGGTTTCTAAAATGCACCATGTATTTCAGAACAGAATATGTAACTTCCAAAAGATTGTCTACCTCAGAGGTAAGAGCCAGAATCAATATGATGTAGTGGCCTATCGCAAGATACGGGCATTGTGGCAATGCATTTAAAATCGCGTAAAACATGTCCTTTTTGTTACCTACGGGACTAGGCCTTGAGCGAGAGAGGAGAGACTCTAGGGTGCGCAAGCCATCTTCATTCCACTCTGAATTATTGACCCCTTTTAGACTTAGTCTTACATAGAGGGTGCCCCGTTCCTGCGATAGCGCCAATTTCGTAGCCCCACGCGAATACGTAAGCAAGTAGGGATGCGAAGTGGGCCACAAGTGAAGAAAAAATGAAGAAATATCTCTCTGCTCCACGCTGAGGATAAGTCTAAGGGGCAGATAGCGAGATAATGTGGGTCACGTAGAGGGGAAAGAACTCCGAGTCGAGAGAGCTTAGCCGGCCAACAATACGACACACAGGAGATATCGAACGGATGGGCGGGTGCGAATGGACTGGGCGTCGGCGGATCGAAATTGTAGAGGTCTAGCGCCCTAGTGAGGCCTTCAATATACGAAGTTGATGCGACCTCCGCAGTTGCGGACCTAGCACCTTCACCCACGGGAGGGATCTTCTCATTTAGCTGCGATCGATCTTTACTTTTCATAATCGTTGGTGCTACGATACAAACATTACCTTCATGCATATGCTCTGGCTCATGTTCTTCCTCCATATTACCGTGCTTTTCCGTCACAGCTTCTTCCATCTCTTCTACATGATCACTGGGTAAATAGTCTTCTGGTGTGTCGTCAACTGAATTGGAGATGTTCAGAAAATTACGAGCAACTAGAACTTGGAAAAAAGGTCTATTCCAGTTAGGGGGCTCATGATGGCCTCAGAGTTACCCTAGCGTTCTGGAAATGTATCAGTAGGCTGGTGTCAGAGTCCGCGATCCGTCGCAGGTTTCGCTGATTTTCGCGATTTGCGCGATTCACGCGACGGGTCACGGAAATCACAAGTGCCCGATCAATACTGCAAGGTGTTCTCCAATCCTGCCGCCACTTCTGCTTGATAGTGATGGCTGAATGACGACTGCTCATGATTCCACTTGTTTCATATTCAGTGTTTCAAATGTTCAAATGGGCACTTGCAATTTTTGCGATCCGTCGCAGGTTTCGCGCAAATCGCGAAAATCGCGTGAATCGCGAAATCGCGTGAATCGCGAAAACCAGCGAAACCTGGATCGCGGACTCTGACAGCAGCCTACGAGTTATGATGCCACCCCTAACTGAAAAAGACTCAAAAAGTATATGTAAACTGCATCCACAATGCTTACCCTCTTCGCTTTTGTAGTCCCAGTCGGCCGCATCAGGCGGTGTGACGATGTGTTCATCACCGTGTCCAGTTGTTGTGGAATCGACCTCTTCTCCTGTACGCGACGTCTCCACATGCGTTTCCTGCTCCCTCATCGCAGCCATCCTTCTCTGCTCGGCTTCAGCTTGACGTCGCTGCTCAGCATCGCGAACGCGCTGCTCTTCGTGATGACCGAACTCGTGACGCCGCTGTTCTTGTCGCGCACGCTCCTCCTGCTCTCGTCGACGTTCCTCCTCACGTCTTCTGGCGGCAATCCTGCGAAGTTCCTCGTCACGACGACGCAACTCCTCGATTCGCTGGATCCTCGATTGGGTTTCTGGTTGCTACCGGCATCACACCAATACGTCGACTTTCTTCTATTCGCCGTCTCTCGGCTTCCAACCGTCGCTCGGCTTCCAACCGTCTCTCAGCTTCCAACCGTCGCTCATAGTCGCGACGTCGCATTTCTTCTCTTTGTCGTTCAATTTCCATCTGACGCATGTCGTAAGTGACCACTGCAAAGATTGATAATTGGTAGTAAGATAGACTGGGAAAGTGGGCAAGGAATAATCGGCTTATCCTTATAGAATGGAATTGAAAACGTAGGTATCCAGCCTACCCAATGAACTAAGCGAGATAATCACGTCGTTTCCAATTTGATATACCCAAGGCGAGGAACTTCGGACTGGGGTATGGATGGTAGCTTTTCTACGTCTGAGAGCGATGTATAAGATTCAACAACCGCTTATGTGGTTGCAGAGACGCTGAACCGCCTTTGCCTCAGATAGAGGAAGGTTAGTTCATTTTAAAGGTTGATCTTACGGATCTCGACAATTTTATTCAATAGAACTCATTTTGTACTAGAGCGTTTTTGAGTGCATCATAATTACTTAAAGGCACAGGACACGACCAGATAGTTCCTTGAAAATCGTCTCCATGAGCACGGTAGCACGGCTCTCAAGAAGACGTGGCATTGCCGCCGACTAAAGTCGCGAAAGATTGAACACTCATTAGGTCCGTTGAAAGCTGTTCAGTTCACTCATTTGAATTGTGTCACTTGCCTGGTGTAGGAGGGGGCGGTGGCGGTGCCTGTTGCTGTGTTTGTTGCACGATCGTCCGGGGAACTCCAACTGAAAATGCCAATCATCAAACTTTGGGACTGGTGTGAAAATAGTGCAATAGTCAGAGACACTCCTTAACACTTTTCAACTCTTAGAACAAGATCGTTCCCACATCAATGGAGCTCGTTGGACCCTTTAAACCCTTTCACTTTCTTTAGAAATTGAACAGTGTAGCGTAGATCCGCTGCGATGAATATGTTAGCAGCAGCTGTGTGGCAGCACTTCTCAATATGAATGTGAGCGTTCAGCAGCTTTGTTACGATAGGCAATTTTCAAGGTGATGAAATGCGTGGTGTGCCCTTGTGATCTGAAGAACAACAAGCACATTCATATTGAGAAGTGCTGTCACACAGCTGTCAGCGAATCTGTCGAAAACAATGGAAATTCAGGCAACTATGAGTCACATGTTGACAGATCGCTTCATTTTGTTACCTACACCTTCAGACTAAACTATCTAAAGGTAGCTAGCAGAAAAGTTCCCGAAAACGTACAATTACAGGATTGGACGGGACGGTAGTCGGAAGTCGGAAACCGAGACTTGCTCATTTCCGCTGAAATGGGTCACTCATTCCTACAAATCAATGGAGAGTTCACATTTTTCCTATTCCATATATTGTCTAATTCTATACAGAAACCCATATGAACTCTTAACGCATAAATTTGGCTGCTATTCTACTGATTATTAACGATGCACCGCTCCTAATCATGCGTTGTGCTATTGCTCAAAGCAACACCCCGACCAAATTTGTGGGGTCACAGCGGTCGACAGTGGAGTTGTGGACACCGAGTGGGCTTAAAATGAAAAAAGAAGCCGATGAAGCCTAAACAAGGATTCCCCTCGAAATAAGGAAGGGGCGGGGCCGGACGAGTTGTACGAACTTGCCTGCTCCACGGCTCAACTAACCCGCGCGTATTTGAATTAGCCGCTACGCCGTAATCCACTGCGTGTCATGGGGTGTGCGCGACGTAACTCGTCCAAATGCTAAGATTAGTCGCCAAATGCTGACTTTGTAAGACCCTAGCGCCATTGTCGCGCACTTTCGAGCCGCGACAACGGCACATCTGTGATACTCGTGGCTACTCTTTCCCCACTGAACAGATTCTTCGACACAACTTCTGCTGGGGTGTTGCTTCGAGGACGTCTATTTGGCACGTTTATTTAAAAAAATAACTAAGTAAATACATGGCCAATGTGGGCTAGAAGAGAGCAATTAGGTTAACAGGACGATAAACAAGTAAACAGTTGACAAGATTAACTAGTAAAGTTTAAACTAACCTTCGTATTGGCATCGATCCCCCTCGTAAACGCCCATCAAACAGATACATGAATGTAATTGTGGATTGTCGAACGAAAATGCGCACATACCACCATTTTCACATCTGAAAATTTTCACACCTGAAAATATTAATTGTAAAAGCACCTTGAAATTAGGAAATTTTCTAATCAAATCAAAATAGCCAAAAATTTGAAAATTGGCCTGCTGGTTGGCAAATGTCTACTTTATATTTACCGACTCGCTTGATAACCAAATGTTCAGCTCTTCTGAGCAAATTAAAATTGATAAAGTTTTAAAATAAAATTCAATTGCAAAAAAATTATATGGTGGCAACTGAAAACCGACATGGATTTGAACTCTGTTCCCCGTAGCCAAACCTGTGCATAATTGCATGACTTTCGTCAGAAATTGCAACGGACAACGTCACCGTGGTATCTCATTATCAGCTTATCATGAGGGTTCCATAAAATATCGGTTTACTTGTTAACAAAGCTTTGGCCGCAGACGGGCCACGAACCCACTACATTTACTTACGGGGCTATGACGCTATAAGCTACGCTGCCGGGGCACCGTTCGCCTTAACTCACCTTATTTTCACAAGACGAACTGCTCCAAAAACAGCTGTTAACAAACAAACAAAAACATCATCCTAGTATTCCGAAACTTCTTCGAAAAAGAATTGGATTTTTGGTCTGCTTTTGTTTGTTAACTGTTGTTTGTGGCCGCAGCTCATTGATTTTTGATTCGTTGAAATTTTTCGATTATTATTTAGTTGATGTTAGGAAAGAACTCTTGATAGAATGATCGATTGGATTGGTTCTTATGAGCTCTTCAATAGCCGCTGAGGAGCTGCACTGTAATGGTTTTGAGTTCTCAAATGAGGAGATGGAAATCGAAAGAAAGGACAGTAGTAATGTTATTTTGTCCTAGGAATCAGGAATGAGATATGTTCCGGCTCATGACGAATGATCTTCTTTTTTCATTTACACCATGCGAGCTTTGAATAAGCAGATTAAATTATTCCCACGGGTATAGAACAGCCTAATCGATTTATTGATCGATTCTTATTACAGTAGATATAACGAATGCCAGAGGGATTCGAAATAATGGGAATCGACCAACAACCAACTAAACCACAATCAGCTTTCAACAGTAAGAGAGATCCCAATCAGCCTTCAAGGGAGAGAAAAAATAAGAATGAAAACAGCGATGAGTCAGAGCGCTCAAGCTAAAGTTGCAAGCAAAGCCTGAAGTCTTCCTAGCCGTTCATAGGTGGGGCTTCCTGTAATCGTTGACTGATCATGTTATTTTTCCTCTCGCGGAGCATAACAAATCGCAGGACAACGTTTTTCGCATAGCATTTTTCGCTGCCCTCGATAGAACACCACGCAAACAAGTTTCAGCTGAGAAGTTTAAAAAGAGTTCAAACTCGCGCTCCGCGATACAGATTTTGGCCTCCCCCTATTATAAACCGGTGACCTAAGGAAACCAGAATGAGACTTCAACAAAACCTAAAATTGCCGCAGACAGCCGAAATCCCGAACAATTTGGGTGAAGATGTAGTCGGGGAGAGGAGGGTACACACCTCATTACCTAATTCTACGGCCTCACTAACACAAGGATAAGATAATGTGCGAGCGGCTCATTTGGGGTGTACTGATGGACCGGGGAAAGCCATTATATTCCACACATCCTGTCCCCATGATCCCACCAAATTGTTCAACTGGCCATCCATCCTGGAACTCGTTCAATCTTGCTGAGCAAAATGTCCATTCTCCTAGTCAAGACAGATTTCCTAAACGGCAGGCCGAAATGTAAAATCATCTCAGGACTTCGTTCACATCACACCGATATTCGGAAATATATTTGGAATGATGATTACCCTATCATGAGCGCTGCTGCTTTCATGTTTAGTATTGGAAAGCGGTGGAATTCCC